GCAGCGCATCTGTCCAGAGAGAATCAAGGGCATAGTTTGCCAAAGCCTGCTCCAGAGTGCCACGAAGGTCAATGGGAACATGTGGTGGAAGAACTCGCGCAATCTCTGTGACAGTCTGCCTGGCTGGCAGAAACAACGCATCTTTGAGCCTGGCAAATTGCATGCTCAGCTGCAAAAAGGGCATGCACACATGATGAAGCCGGTTGACATTGCAGGATGGGTTGCAGACACAGCCCAGGGAGCCATAAAAGCCCTGCACCAGTTGATGAACAAAAGGTTGGGCCGCCATCCAAATCTCAGCATGACTACCTTGGAGGTGGGCCGAGAGGTCGGCTGACCTTGTGTACTTCTTTGGGCAGCATTGGCACCGCAACGTAAGCCGTAGCTTGTTGTGTGGGTCAGAAAGGATGTCTTCAAGACGTCCATGACAGCATGCCTCTTTCCACAGCTGCAAAACTTCTGTAGGAGTCGTTGTCAAATCAGGGTTGAATTTGGCACATCTTCCCTGGTTTATGTGACTGCGCAAACTTTCAAGGTTCTTGAAGTCCTGTTTGCAGTGGTTGCAGATCGGTTTGCCATCGCAGCTGTCTCTACTTTCATGCCACACCGAGCTGATCAATCGGTGAACCTTCTGAAGGTGGGCATGCAGTTCCTGTGCTGAGGTGCAGTGGACCCCACATATTTCGCACTGCATAGTGTCCAACGCCTTTGCAGGAGCATCAATGGCAGGTTTGGGGCCATGCACAATCAGCATGGCTACCTGGAACCAGACGTTGCATGAGTGCGATGAGTTGAAGATCACACCGCACGCCGAGCAAGGCGCCTCGGCACTCATCAAATTCGTGAGCTGCGTCGCCTTGGAGTGCACCAGGTTGCTGTAGGCACTGTGCATCAAACGGAAATGATGATGCATCGCCTGGGCTCTGCCAATGAACTGGCCACAAAGGAGGCAGTTGCGGGAAAGAAATCTGCAACCTGCACGTTCCCTCAGCAAATCATCCCAACTGCGTTGATGGATCAATGTCAGAAGTCTGGGTCCAAACTCATATTGCTGAATGGAGTGCAGTTCCTCCTTGGTCAGCTTCGGTATGGCGCCTGGGTTCAAGGCCAAACCAGGCGCAGCAGTCTCAGGAAATGGTGCCACCGGTCGAGCGTGTCGTTGCTCAAGCGTGGTGTCCTGGCAGCCGCGCTGAATATGGATCATGAAACTTCTCCAGGTAGTGAAGGTTTGGTCACACATGGTACATTGAGGAAGGCCATATTTCATAAACTGTGCAGGATTAGGGACATGACGCCTATATCTGGGGAGATTATGGGTATGAGTCATGTGTCTGCGCAGAACTGGCAACTGAGATGTGGCAAAATCACACAGCGGGCATGTCAAGCAGGGAGAGGAGGTGGCCTCTTCCATTGCAGGCATTCCACAGGGCACGGTCAGGCCTTTGGCATGCTGTTGTTGGATGAAATCAATGGTCTGTTGCAAGGCAGTCCAATCAAATGTTTGGCACAGATCAAAACCTGTCGAATGCTGGTGCAGCTTGGTGACGGACTGATACAAGGAATCAGCAGTCGTCCATAGCCAAAGCAAAGGAGGTGTCACGCCGTGAAAAATTAGGGCATGCTCATTTGATCGTCCAGTTTGATATGCATGATCATGATGGATCTGTCGGATCATAGAAATCATGATTTGCTGCAACATCTGGAGACCTTTTTTGGTCAAGCCAACAGTGAAAATGCCATACGTCAAAACTGGATAAACACATGTGGACCACAATCGCATACGCTCTTTGACAGCTAAGCCCCGTCTTGCGGTGAGCCATTTCTTCAATCTGGTGAATGCAAGTCTGGCATGACTGACACGAAGCTTTGTGGTGGCATCTTCAAAGGATCCATAGCTGATCAAGGTGCCAAGGTATTTGGTTTGATGCATCACTGGAAGGTCAAAGGTCTGGTGATTGCCATGGATTTTTATTCTCTCGCCCGCACTTGTCCAGTGAATCAAGCCAGAGCGCACAGCACGGAAATTGGTCCCTCCCATGGTGAGCAAGAAGGCTGATTTGGCAGTATTGATGTGCAATCCCTTGTTTTGAAGTGCTTCCATGATCAAACCAAAAAAATAAAGAAGTTGAGAAAGCTCGGCAGCGGAATGAAACAAGCCATATGCATGAATGTCGTCCGCATAGATGTTCATGTGGCTGCATATCCACTCCCACGGGATGAGATGGGCAAGGTCTCGCAAATACAACAAAATAAAGGCATTGAACAACCAGGGTGCAGCCTTGCACCCTTGGCGTACTCCTGCACCTACCTGGATAGGAGCTGTGCCTCCATTTGCCTCCACATGGTATGAGGTATGTTCATGCCATTGGGCCAGCATGGAAATGATCTTGGGGTTGTCAAGCACCTCATGAAGTCTGCCAAACAGTTCAACACGATTGATACTGTCAAAGGCACGGCTCAAGTCCAGGAAGACCTGTGCAGCTCCGCAGGCTTTGTACATGGGTGTCATCTGTTGCCGATGGAATGCCGTAGGTCTTTGAGAGGCAACCAGCAATCGGCCAGCAGAGCAGTGGCCTGCCACTCTATACAACGCATGCTGTGTACCTCTCCCTGGAAGATATGCCCAGAGAGGCCAGGCAGTTAGAACCGGGAGGGTTTCTCTTTGTGCCACCTTAGCAAGGAGCCCTATTATGGATTTACCTACCGGTTCCTGGAGCGCGAGAGGGCGCAAGGCATCTGGGCTACAAGGCTGCTTGTTCGGTTTAGGGATGAGAAGGAGCCAGGCATCCCTCCAATTATCGGGTATGGGGGGTTCAGGGCAATTCCAAATATCTTGCAAAAAACGATATAGAGGTGGTGCAATTACCGGTGCAAGGGAACGCCAAATCATGCCTGGGGAGAAAGGTTTGGCCACAGCACGTGAAATGGGAATCTCCATCAGCGCTCTCAGTAATTCCTCCATCGTGAAAGGAAGACCTGCCGGAACATCATGAGGCTTAGGGAGCATGGTAGGTCCTTCCCATGTTTTGGCAACAAAAGCATGAAGAATGGCCATCTCTTCAACTGGTGTCGCAATGTTTCCATGTCTGTTTCGGATTTGCAGTCTGCGTTTAGGCATTTTTGGTGCAAAACGGTTGATCACCTGGAAGAGCTGGTATGAGTTGTGCTGCTGAGCAGCCAGCTGAGCCTGTTCCATGATCATTTCAAACCGTTGTTTGCGAATCAAAAAAGCATGCTTCTTATGTGATCTGCTCAAAACCTGGAAACGTGTCATGTGAAACCATGTTTGGAAAACATTGCGGAGCGTAGGAAGTTGAACACGCCTGTACAGATCTCGATGTCTCCACTTGTTCAAAATGAAATCGCGGGCAGAATCTTGTGTAGACGCCTGCATCCGTCTGGATTGCTCAGGGAAACACTGTCGAAATATTTGGCTGGCAAGCCTGTGCATTTCTGGAATCACAGTGGGGTCATCATGGCGGGCCTGTTCAAGATGATGCACAATCGGAGAAGCAGACTCCAAAAAGGCCATCCAGTCAGGACTGCTGGACATCATGGCCAGGCGGCCTGACTCTCTTTGCTGCATCGAAATTTCTGCAGTGCGCTGATCCGCAATCGGAGGGATCCACATCTTGCGTATCTGGCCCAGGATGGGAAAATGACCTACATGTGGAATATTCAGAAAAGAGGCATTGGTCAAATATTTAATATCCTTGGCATGTCCGTCAGCAAGTGGCAGGCGGGTGAAGGCAAAATCAATGCGAGATTGGCCATTAACCCCTGAAAACGTTGGTCCTAATGAAGGGTTCCAGGAATTCAACGCAACTAACTGATGAGCTTTAACTAGGGCTGTGAAAAGTCCTTCATCTGGATGTGGAGAGCCCTTCTGAGAGGAGTGGCCCCATCGGAAATCATCACAGCCCACCAGGCCCTTCAGAGTCGGCAAGCGGCAGTTGAAATCACCTGCCATCAAAAGAACATGACGCTTGGGCAAAGTGCCCAGGTATCTGTCCAAGCAGGACCACCATTCCTGTCTCGCTGCTTGTTTGACCTTTGTGCCCGAGAAAGTATGTTGATAACATGCAATGATATCAAGGCAACGCTGTCTGAGTCTAATCTGCACATGGACAAGTCTTCCAGGGACAACTTCATGCCATCGCAAATCATGATGTGTGCAAACTGAATTTGAAATCAACAGCATGATACCGGCACCTGGTTGAGAGGAGCAGCCCGTGTGCAGACACATCCAGTGAGGATCCATCCACTCATTGCTATATCGCCAACGCGTCTCTGTCAGTATCAGGATGTCAATACCCTGCTCAGAGCACCACACCTTCAACTCGTCCAACTTGTGATTGCTGAGGCCACTACCATTCCAACAAAAATATCTCAAATACCGTTGGTTCTGATGCTTCCGGTTGCACGCCTGGAGGTCCTGGGTGCGTTTGGGAGGCTTCGTACCAGCAGCAGTGGTTGGAGGAGAGCCCCGAGCCAATGAAGGGATCATCGTGTTGAAATCCTGCACTGTGTAGCATCGGCCACGATACCAGCTGGTGCCATCCCGCAAGGCACGTTTGTAGGCTCGACGGATACTTCTCTTTTGTACTGAGTCTTTGGTGGGCCATGTGTAGCCGGAGCTCATTGTCGGCTGAGTCCCACGTTGCTTCGCACCAAATTGTTGTACAAAAATTGCATCCCATGGCATTGGTGCTTCTGTGACTTCCGTGGTAAAGTCACAACCCTCACCCCCACTCCAGCTTGTTGTTGAAGGTGGCATCTGAAACAGCAATCCGGCACAAAGCAGGAGCAAAAATTTCAGTGTTCTGGAGTGCCCGGAATTGGGACCGGGTAAGCCGCCAGTGTGGTGCCAGTCAAGAGTCCAAGGTGTCTCGACCCTCCAATCCAGAAACAAACCTCCCTGCTGCCAAAAGTTCCCTGATAGTCTCCTGAAAAAGATGTAGGGATGGACCAGAAGTCGCAACACAAGGGCCCGAAAAGCCAGCAGGTGTCCGACCAAAATCTGATACAATCGCGCCCAGAAACTTGCAAAAATCCAATAAAGAGAATGCCGCACCAATTCACTGAAAAATTGTACTGTTGTCCAAATCAACTTGTCTGCAGCCCCACCGCAGAAGGCCAGAAAAAAGGTCGGTGTAACCAATCCTGGTCTGTTAGGTGAAGCCCCACGGCAGAAGGCCAGTCTGTATCCGTGTGCAAGAAGTTGAAGGAGTCCTGAAAGAGCCCCACCGCAGAAAGCCAGAGAAAGCGATGTAGCCCAAATTGAAAATACCTGCAGGGCCCCACGGCAGAAGGCCAAACTGTGCCCGTGTTGAGAAAATTGTATATTGTCAATGAGAGCCCCACCGCAGAAGGCCAGCAAAATTATCGGTGTATACCAAACTGCAAAATCCTGTAAAGCCCAACGGCAGGAGGCCTGGCTGTTTCCGTGTCGTAGGGGTTGGATATTTGTATCAGCCCCACCGCAGAAGGCCAGGGATGCAGCCGGTGTGTCAGATTCCACCCAGGTGTGCAAGATTGCACAATACAAATCCTGTCTGATCCTCGAAACAGTTGATTGGAGGCACAAAAAGAAGGCCCCACCGCAGAAAGCCAAAAGAAATAACGGTGTAATCCAACAAACTGAATCCAGAGGAGCCCCACGGCAGAAGGCCAGATTGTATCCGTGTAAAAAAGCCAAAATGTCACCAAAGTAGGCCCAAAAATCAGCCCCACCGCAGAAGGCCCAAATTGTCAGTGTAATGTCACAAAAATATTGCTGAAGGGTCCCACGGCAGAAGACCAGACTGATCCCGTGTGTCAAAACCAGAAGATGCCAGCAACAATATGAAAAAATTAGCTGCAAAATCTGAAATGGCCAACCAGTTGAGACTACACGGTCAAAGGTCAGAGGTCCGTGTATTCGTAAGCACGTCGTTTCTGATTCAGAAAGACCAATTGCCAGCGAAGGGCAAGGCAAGGCAGTCAGTTCACACGTGAATCGATGAAGCAGCAGCGCAAGATACCACAGCCAGGCAGGCCACGTGCAGTGGGTCAAAATGCCAGCCAGCTTCGTCACAAAGAAAATGACAGCCGTTTTGAAAAGAAGCCAGTCAAGGCCCAAAGTCAGTCTGAATGTTGCCGATCCAAGAAAATCCAAAATGAAGAAAAATTGCAAGCACGGCGCAGCGAGGGATGATGGCAGCACAGGGAACAGCAGGATCGAGGGGAGGCACAACTTGTCGCTGTTGACAACACTTGGGCGCCGCACTCGTGGCGGCAAAGGGGCTTGTGTGTGTTTTTGTGTGTGTGTGTCAAGGGGGTTCAAGGGGGTTCAAGGGGGTTCAAGGGGGTTCAAGGGTACGGAATTCAGATGACACACATTCCTGATGCGTGGGATGCACTTGCAGACCTAATCAACAAGCTCAAACAATTGGGGGTCTTGAGGGTCTCACTCGCGAAAAAAGAATGTGAAGCAGAAAAAACAAATCATCATACTTATCTCACCCAAAAGTGGGGCTCCTATTTGTAGCTCTGGGCACCCCTACTGGAGCACCAGGGAGCACTGGCATCACCCGGCTTGCGCTTGGCCTGCGACCAAGATGGGGATTGAGCCGGCAAGAAATGGCGAACTTCTTAGGTTACCAAGATCTTGATATAACAAGCAAAAATTATATTACGGCCGAGTAATCGTGGTTGTTGTTTGGTTGTTGATTGGGGGGTGTATGTATAATCACTTGATTTCCAGGACTCCCCCAGTTGGGGAAATTGTGCTGTAACAATTGGTTTGTATATTCCTTCGAACTCAAAACCCAATCACATGGTCACATGCCTCAAACTTTGAACATGACAAGAGACTGACACCAACAGTTTCTAACATCTGTAATTTGGGCTCTGAATGGATCTTCTCGGCTGGTAGATCTTCTCGGTAGATCTTCTCGGAAAACTAGAAGTTTCACAGGCGCCATTTCAGCCAAACACCGATAGTCTGGTTCGGTCCTCTTACATGTGGACAGTCTCGAGGAGCTGACCCAGCTGACCCACTGTGTCATTAAAAAGGGGTGATTCATAGAGAAGCGCAACAATCTGTATTTCACATTTGCATAGAAGTAGAGTGAAATCGCAAAGTCCAGTCATGACCAAAACTGGGATCGCCTCTCCCAATCTTTGCACCTCTCCGTTTTTGCTGTCAAAGCGCCCCGATCAGCCAACCACCTCACGGATTCTGAAGCTTTGCAGGAGAACTGATAAGCAAAAGGCTGTGGGCTAGCTGCATCCCCATGAATTGTCGCAACATCCCCAATTTTGATGAAAATCATCAAACTTCCGATGGTTGGTTAGTGCTCAAAAATATTCAAAAATCCCATGTTTGGTTGGTTCAAATCCGCACTCTTGGTTGTCGAAATCCCAATGAAATTACATCATACCATTGTTAAATGTGCGGTCTTAGTTTAGTGGCTCCAATCCCCATTGGGAGATTTGGGGAGACCTTTGGTTGGTCTT